TCAGCAACTGACCCAAACAGAGATTCATGGAGCAGATGCCAGGAAACATCTTCTACTACTGCTGTATGTCCTGTAAAGATGGTCTTCGCATCCACCACTTTTCCTTCCTTTGGAACAGCACTGATGTCCCATAGGCAGATGGTATGGTCATCTGAAGCACTAAGTAAGTGCCCACTAAGATTCGGGTTCCAAGAAAGCCCATAGCCTTCTTTCTGATGTCCACGGAGATGCAAGTCTGGGTTGCACTCTCCAGAGGGGTCTGGTTTAGAAGGATGCTTTGTATAGTCAAAAACAAGAACATCACTGGATGGTGTCTTTGTTGCAATGATGCAAGGGTTCTGGGGCATGTTATGGGCCCTGTTTATTTCTCCTTCATGGTTGATCTTAATTTCTATTTCAATTTTCCCACTAACTGAGCCAAAACCTCCAAATTCTCCTTTCTCACTGTTGTAGTGTGACGCATCAAACTGGGCATCATCATTAGGGAGCTGTATGCTGGCTATCATGAGGTGGTTTTGTTCATCTGATGTATGTGTCCCCAGGACAAGTCAATGAATGCTGAAATCCTTCCCTTCTGGTCTGGTTACATCTGGAAGCCACTGTGCTGTTAGGCTGGGCCACTCCAGAGCATGGGTCATCACCAAGTCATAAAGAAACGGTGTATTCTTTTTCCATATCTTGTGCTCCTCGTTGATCACACGTTCTTCCACTGCATCATCAAAGGCTGCTTCCTTGTCAGCCATGGTGGCAGGAAAGGCTGAGGACCCTACGGCTGAACCTACAAATCCAACTCTTAAGGTATTTTAGTTATCATTATTTGGATTTCAAGTGTTACTCTCAAAAACAACATCTGAATGCAGAATAATAGAATTGCTGGTCACGACAATGACAATAATTTTTCAGTGAGTTGTTCTTTCTAATCCTGGTAATTTTCAAAATTTATAACCATAAAAATAACCCAGGTCCTGCCTAATATCCCTGATATCATGCTTGCCTCTGAGATAATTGAGAGAAATAAAATAATTTCAACTTTATTTCATGGTATTTCAGAAGGTTCATTCATCCCTCCTAGGAAGTGATAATCAAGAATGGTCATTAAGGAGAAAAATAAAATGCACATTAGGGGATTTGGAGATAGAAATGATGCTGAAAACAATAAAATAATCACCAAATCTAGTGACAACTTACCGAAATCTTTGGAGTTGACACCGATGTTGTATTCATGAAAAAAAGTTAAAAATGGACATATTGTTGGCTTCTGTTGAATACCATATCTTCCTGACATTCACAACTCATATGATATTATAACTATACTTCTTTTAAAATTATGATAAATTGGATTTTTATTAGCTCAGAAATATAAAGAGTATTTACCTTCTCCCTGTAAATACCTCCCACTTATTCCTAAGTTAATATTTGAAAGTACTTAGAATATTGATTGGATGATAATAAAACATTGAGGTAGGTAGGCAGGTAGGCAGGCAGGCAGATGAGTGGGCAGGCAGGCAGGTGGGAGGGCAAGCAGGCAGATAGATGATATATAGATAGATAGATAGATAGATAGGCAGACATTGTTAATTTTCGTTGTGAATAATCTCTCCAAACTGTAGAGTACTGTTATCTTTCCAAGTCAGATCCAGTCTTCCAAAAAGTCCCTTTGTCCTTAAGCCACTGAAACAGAATAAACAATATTGAAATTTCTTGTTCATATGTAGGTAGATATGATGCGTCCTAGCAATTTTCTCCTCATCCAATCACAGAGCTAATATGCTCTTATGACAGATTAACATGAATCTGCTCTCCCCAATGTCTATATAAGTAGGAAAAATCAGTAATGTTATTATTAATAAAACAACTAAATTAATCTATCCTATAATAGAATTGATGATTAGATACAACTATTTAAATGAGAATATTTCTTTCTTGACAAAGAATTTGAAACTAAATCTCAGTGAACAGTATAATATTATTGAGGGTGAAAAAACACATTCCAACTGAAAATTTCCTAAGCTACTTGAATACAGAAAGACTCAACATTACCAGCTACATCAGAGCATTAAGAATGAAGAATTTCAGGGCCGGGGAGATAGCTCAGTAGAGTAAGTGCTTGCCTGGCAAGAGCAAGGGCCTGAATTCAATCTCTGGTTTGGGGAAAAAAAAAAAGAATGAAGAACTTCATAGACAACATGAAGCACTGAAATTCCTCAAGCCAACTGCTAGCATATCCTGGAGATCCAGTTCTTGACATTCTAGTGATTTTATCAGGGGATGTAGCCACTGACTAAGAAATTTCTTTATATGCATTTAATTGTTTTATTATATTTATTTAGAGTACTCACAAACTCAGTTCTATCAAAAAGAATCAACATATTGAGAATATAAGCTCATAGTTTTTCTTTGTTGCTGAAATATATGAAACTTCCCAAATTATATTCTTCTAAGCAGCTTTCTGTGCATTTATCAGTGATGATTGCCAAGTTTTAAACTTAATTTGAAGCAGATGAAATACTTTGAAGCAGCACATTAACATCTTTGGATTGACTCACAACTGGCTTAAAATTACAATTTAAAAGTGTTTAACCATAAAATAATGTGCCATTAATAAGCCAGTTTATCTATCCTCTGTCAAGCTAATTATCGTTTCTAACAACTTCTAAAATTAAGCTGAAATTTTAAGTAGAGACACTAAGTAAAAAAGACACTCAAAAAGTAACTTTGAAATGTTGTTCATTCCTATGGTTTGTTTTGGAAAGAAATGAGCGTAATTTTCCTAAATTCATATAAGTCAGTCCTACAGCAATTGATCACGCTTTTCTGTGCGGAGGAAGGAAAGAGGAAAAGAGAGAAACAAAACAAGGTGAGCTGAAAACTAAGAAAGATAATTTAAGGAACTGCTAGGCTAGGGCAGCAGTTCTGGTAAGAATGTCACTGGAGGGTCATCTGAAGCAACAGACCTGGTAAGAATGTCACTGGAGGGTCGTCAGTATCACCCTTTCGCAAAGAACAGCCCGTTCTTGACTGAGTAGGTTCAGTTTCTGCTTCGGAAGATGCAGAACATTTCTTCCAAAGGAGAACAGATCTAAGTCTTGCTGTCAAATCAGAATCATTTTACAAAGAAAACAAAAGCAGCCTAACAGTGAGTACTTCTGTACATTGTTTCCCAGCAGCTAAACATTAAATGGATTAGATAAATAATTACAGAGTCAAGATGGTATTCTCTTTATGTTCTATACAGTTAGTGAATGTCTGTGAATTATAAAACTCTGGAGACATAGCTACAAGAAAACTTTCAAGCCATGTCAAAGAGAAAAAAGGAACACAAATGTCACATATTTACATATAGTCTTGTATTTTATAATTACACATGTATATTTCTTTAAAAATGTAGCATGTGCATTAGAAAAAATATTGGTAGAATATGTGGGACTATGGCACATACCTGTAATCCCAGTGCTCAGGAGGCTGAGGCAGGGGAATCACTGTGATTTTAAGGCCATCTTGGGCTACAAAGTGAGTTCAAGTCCAGCCTTAACTGTAGAGAGAAACCTTGTCTCAAAAAAACATTTTAAAGAGAGAAAGGAAGAAGAAAGGAAGAAGAAAGAAAGAAGAAGAAGAAGAAGAAGAGAGAGAGAGAGAGAGAGAGAGAGAGAGAGAGAGAGAGAAAGAAAGAAAGAAAGAAAGAAAGAAAGAAAGAAAGAAAGAAAGAAAGAAAGAAAGAAAGAAAGAAAGAAAGAGGATGTGGATGATTACTAAATGAAATTGACTAAATGTTTGTGTATTTCAAATTAATATTCTAAAATCCTAATCCCCGAAATGAGGGCATATGGAGGTACAGCTTTTGTGAAAAGATTAAGTTTTTCTGCCTTGTGAAGATATGAGAAGCTGACTGTTTCCAGTTGAGAAGAGAACCCTTACAAGGTTCAGATTGCAGGATTGTGAGAGATAAATTCCTCTTTTTATAAGCCATACAGTATAGTAAACTTTATTGTTACAATTAGTTATATTCTAACTGTATAGAATATAAAGGGAGAAGGACCTTTCTGATCTCAAGAAAAAAATCAGTAAGCGTTCTATGCACCTGAACTGACATTACCCAATTTAAATGCTTGGCTCATAAATATACAGCTTTCTGGAAGAGGTGCTGGAGTTAGGAAGGATTGGTGCTTCTCCAACTCTGAAAATTATGTATTTATCAATACTTCTGAAGTATAATATTATTGTCATAGGTGGAAGATTTCCACACAGATCATCATTTTATGGAGAAAAAAGTTACAGTTACAGCTAGATACTGATATATAAAGGTATAAATAAAGCCTCAAATAATAAAGTGGTGGATGTTTTTTAAAAAGATGAGACAGTGATCATGGTAAGGAAATGAATGATTAGATTAAATGTTATTATAGTAACTCATTTATATAATAAATTGATTTATAATTGTCACTTCCATGGATAGCATTACCTGAAATTTAAGGCTCAATTCTTTCAGGGGAATGATTACTTATGAAAAGTTTTACTTTACCTTTCTTATTTCCAGTTAAAAATAATTTCCTAACGTAGCTGGAGAGATAGATCAGTGATCTACACCCTTGCCTGGCAAGCACAAGGACCCGGGTTCAATTCTCAGTACTGCATTCCATGCCAGCCCCAAAACCCTCCTGTGCTGGCCATTAAAACTGGAGCACGCCTATAATCCTAGCACTAGGGAGGCTGAGAAAGGAGAATCACTGAGTCGAAGCTATGTAGTAAGACTTTGTGGTAAATAAATAAATAAATAATGAGCCTAATAAAACAAATACCTACTTATCTATCAGGAGCACATATGTAACAAACATTAACATCTATTAACTATATTTTAAAGTAATCTTTTCCTGAAGCAGAGAATATTAAAAGACAAGCAAATTCACCACACACACATAACTAAATAATGCAACATAAAATGTCTGTGTTCAGGTAGCCACCTCAAGTTCAGTAGAACTCAACCAATACCCAACAAAAGAGTTCCTTGTACCCAGACTCACTACTATTCATTCTTACCTTGAATTCTGATACCATAGAAGGCTTTGGTTTGCATTAATTACTGTATGAATTAAAATGTAGCATGTTCAGAGACTGGATGATTTTGCTCAAAATTATGTGACATGAATTTAAGTTTTTGCATGTAGCAATAGTCCATTTAGTTAAATTATTGTTCATACCTGTTCAGGGGGCAAAGGTTAGATTCCTCTCTCACTGGTCAACACTAGACATGTGTGCAGCAACAAGTTGGAAGATCTTGTTTATATCTTTTGAATATAACATAATTGTGGTGGATTAAGTAACGGGCAACTTGTAACACCCAGCTGTACTGAAATAACATGGTGCTGGGTGTGGAAGGTCCCCTGAAGATTATTGCCAACAACATAAAAGGAGAATTGGAGGGGATGGTGATGCATTGTTGATACTCCTGGAGAAGCTTGTCTTGCTGGCTTCCCTGGTACAAACTCGGCTATTCTTATGGGTGGAGGAGCTTGGGTCCTCATTGTCACTGAGGATGGTTGCAGTTCTCTTTGGGAGAGCTCTGGTCTTTATCTTGTGCATCCCTTCCTAGCTCCAATGCAGACACCTCAGCCTGCTGGCACAGATCCTTCATCCTTCTGCTGCAGATGCAGACTTTGCAGCTTTCATCACTGAACTTTGGTTCTTTGCAAGGTGGGTCCTTGATACAGAACTTACATGGAATATTGTTGAGGGCTCTAGGCCTCCTTTGGACT